GAGAGTGTGTCTACATTGTAAATGGTGTTTCTCAAACAACAACAAATTGGTATGCCTTCTGTATTATTAGATTGAGATTAGGTATGCTGCTTAGATGCATTCAATTCAATATGATATCAAATCCACAAGAATTCACTAGCACAACACACTAAACAACAAGCCTCTGATGAGGCCTGGCCTGGTGGAGTCTCGGTGTGTTGAAGTGTAAAGGGGTGCTAGAATATATCCACAACACATTCAAAATTTTAGGTGGATCAACTAGCTTGTTGACTCACTAATAAAACCACCAGCATTGTCTTCATCTTCTTCGTCTAACCCAATTGATTCGCAGGAGCTCAGGCCATCATTTCTCTTCTTGCCAGCCTTGATCGGCCACAAGTTGTCTCCACTTTGGCTTGCCATTCAATATCACCAATGATGCCTAAAAGCAAATGGCTTATTCTCTGTTTCTTGATACATAGTGATTGCCATCACCGTCTAGCAAACAAAACATGTATGGCAATGAGAATGGAAAATAAAACATGCATATGCAAATGATAACAAGATAAAGTAATTTAGCTTACGTGAATTGCCACTTCCATCCCACTTTGAGGGCGGCCAAGCACTTGTGAATAGTAGCCGACATACTAGTTCACTTCCCCTTGAATGATCCTCCATTGATATTGGAGAGATGCCGCATTGCGGTTGGTGACGATACGATGCGGCTCCACATATTGCTTTTATTCATGATAGTCCTTCCAAATCTTCTCCCAATATGTATTCCCTTTTTGCTCCGTGCAACATATGAGATCCATTGTTGTGGCCAACCATGATAACCAATAAGATATCCTTGAATGCTGAGAATTACGGACCTCTTGCCTTTGTTGTCTTTGGCTTCTTTTTGTTCTTGCTCGGATTGAGATTTGATGTTGCCCCAACTTCAAATAAAGGGCAAGTTGGATCCTCTAACTCGTAGTCCATTTGGGTAGGTTCATGACTATCATTGATCATGTCCGACATGGTAAACTCCTTAAAGTATCATGCTTTTACAATCACGGATCATGTCCCAATCGGCCTAATGTTGTTTGCAAAACATTGACCATGGCATATGCAAAGTTGATTGGAGAGGAGCAAAAAGAACATACCGAGTCTTGCTATGTCATTCCGTCGAACAGGTCGTGGGCAATCCGGACGCCGCCGGTAAACATGCTTGTCTGCACCCGAACGAGCTGC